CCTTTTATACATTTCCAAGGGCCCCTCGAATGGGGTGGACGAGGAGAGCAGCAAGGTCGGAAGAGGCTCGATATGGAATCATGCGAGTGTTGATAAAGGGTGGTTATTGGTTGGAGTACAATGACGCATGAAGCGGAACGAGAAGGTGTCGGCAAACGGAAGCTGGGCGGACCAAGACGGCGCGACGAATTGATCTATATCCGTATGCGCGTCTATTGAATCTATAGAAAAAGCGCCCGAAATAAACTGGAGAGGCGCGCAGGATCCTATAACAATAAGGATTAGGAATAAATTTACATATCATAACCAAGTCTTCGTGCTACAGAATACATCCAACGCTGGTACCTCTGCCCTCATCAATCATCTAGCACCGTCGTGTCCACTCTGGAAGGTCGCTTGATGCAATTTTTTTCATGGCGGAATGGCAGGGAATGGGCCAGCGTGGGCCAGAGATCGGAACGTATCACAGCACTGACGGAAGTGTATATTGTAGCAGAGCAGAATTCGTTGGGATGGGCTCCAATGCGATGGAAGGGGAAGAGACCGCGATCTTAAAGATCCATGTGTCGAGGAATGTCGAACATCTCACAGCTCTGGGATACTTTTAGTGCGGGACCGGCGATTCGAAGACGACTCTCCTGAAATATCGCAAATGATCACTCTAACACTTCCAATTTAGCAAACACCAGTCAAATCGCATGGTGTTGAGATACATCCCTGCATAAAAAAGGCCCCGAGACCTAGTAAAGAACCAGTTCAGGAGATACCAGAAGCCACAAATTAGTGTTTTGAGGTTCCACGGCAGGGCTATTCCAGATCCCAAGATGCGCGTGAGATGGGCTCTATTTTCTCATCATCTTTCATTAATAACGCGTGAGTGTCGTTAAAATATAGATGGAAAGGTAGAAAAGTGGTTATTTACGATTAGGCACCGTAGCGTACGATCAGGAACCACACTTTGGGACCCATCGTGTACAGTATTCAGTGTGCAGCGCCTCCCATCACCCGGTAATGCAGAATCGCAGATGAAAAAACGCCCTGCGTACCAGCGCTAAGTAGTTAGTACAAGCGCCTGCTTCAACCGACCACGTACTTAGTACTTACGCGCTACGCAACCTCGCCTGAAGTACCCCGTTTCTCGTCGTCAACTTCAGGCTTTAGTTCGCTCTGCAGGCTGCAGCAGACTTGCCGACTTTGGACCCGAGCGGCCACTATGAATACCGATGCGATAAGAGCAGGAACAAGATGGGTACGCTGATCAGATCGAGCACTGGTACGATAGGCCTGGGTGGGGATATCGTGCGATCGATTATCTGTGGGGCAGGGGCTTGAGTATTGGTAGCATGAAAGTCTCGAAGAGACAGCCAAGCTGCAATCGCAGAGGAACGTAGAGTATGGTAAACCAAGCGAGGGAAACGTATTGCGGTGAGGCTGCAATGGGAATGCGCACATCATGGAGACCGGGCAGCGTGGGTGAAATTTCCAAAGGTAGGAAGTGTAGCGCTGGTATATAGACCTGACAATGCGGCGCGCAAGGTGAGCGACCTCAGCAGTAAACGCGAGCCATCAAAAGGCACGACCCCCTCACTCAGATGCATAGCACAGATTTGTAAGAGCCAACAACGGATGATGTGAGTTGGCAAGAACCCCAGTACAGCACCCTATACGTGGATTCAAACTGGCGATCGCTATCACCTTGAACTGCCAGCGCTCGGCACCGCTCTCGCATAGCCGTGCATTCGAATGCGTCGCGGTGTGCTGAGGTTTGATGGACTTCCGCGACAACGAGCGCCCACTGGCGCTGAGAACTGATAAAAGCGCCATAGGTAAGCCGTAGACACGCCCAGGGATCTAACTGAAGTACGGAATACATACCTGAATCGACTACCGGACCCAGCTGCCGCCGCGAAGAGTGCGAAGTACCAAGCGCCAACGGTAAGCTCTAGCACTTGGATCATCGCCCTCTTCATCTTCGACAGCGCTCGATATGTGCTGGGCTCTGAGTCTCCTTGAACTTTGCAGAGTCCAGCCAATATCGAGTGGGATGAGTGCTCGAGTGACTAGAGCGCTGGTAGCTGGGAAGGAGGTCGTCAACGTGCGATGGAAGTGGCGATAACATGGACCCATCAAACGGCGACCGCGTCTGAAGATCTGATATGTCGAGCCTGGAAGCCCCTCTGATCCGTGTGTGTAGGCGACTGAAAGATGTTTGTATGGGTCATTGGGAAGGGCATCAATGGCCGCTCTCGCCAACAGAGGTCCCCAGCAGCTAGTACATGCCGTTCGTGACATTAGATAGCGTTCAGGATCCATCCGCGCACAAGACGCAGAAAGCTGGTCAAGTGAAATCCGAAGTCCTGAAAAGTTCCACGAAATATATCAGTTTGATGTTCGATGGCAGCTATTTTATATTCCAGGGCGCGTGAGGCCGCCTTTTCACACAGTGCAGTGGGTCGATAGCGTCGTAGAGAAGCGAAGAACCCTGAGCTGATTATCGAGCAGGGTTGGAGAGAAAAGGAGTTATTTACGTCTGATTGTTAGGAACCCCACACAAATCCTGATGGATATGCCTGTGAGCAAATCAAAGTTTCTGACAGACACTTTCAAGATACTTATAGGCCCATGTTCGTTTGTTCAAAATCCAGATTCCCAAGCTCCCTTCTCCCAACCGGAGAAGACAGAGAAGCTCAGCGTCATGTCCGAAAAGGCGTCCCATACTTTCATGGACGTGGAGAAGCACCCAATCGACACCAGTAGCTCGGCCAGCACTTCCTCTCAGAATGACCCAGCGCTCAAGAAAACATGGCGGAAGATCGATATGTACATCCTACCAGTCGCCGCGATGTTCTACCTGCTCTCCTTCCTCGTAACTATCGTTTTCTCGCTTCCACCATACCTCCACTGATTCGTGTCGTACAGGATCGCACGAACCTCGGAAACGCTCGCATTGCCGGGCTGCAGAAGGAGCTCAAAATGACGAACCACCAGTATTCCATCGCCTTGACAGTCACGTACGTCCCGTACATCGCCGCTGAATTACCGTCGAATCTACTGCTCAAGGTATGCTTTCATGCTTCACTTCGCGACGGCGACTGACTGAGCTTCTTGCAGGCTGTGGGTCCTGACCGCATGCTGCCTACGATGCTTACTCTATGGGGCGTCGTTACCACACTCCAAGGCAAGTATATACCGCATGTTTGTTCGAATTCTTGGACTAACCGTGATCCCGCTGATAGGCATCGTCAAGACGTACCACGGTCTCCTCGTTTGCCGCTTCTTTCTCGGCCTTCTGGAAGGTACGTAACATCTAGTTCGACTCGGGGGAATTCTGTTCAACTCCCAATAGGCGGCGTGCTCCCCGGGCTCATTCTCTACCTCGCGTCCTGGTATCCTCGCCAGAAGCTTCAATGGCGGTAAGTGGTAATAGTACTGCCTTCTCAACCGTGCTCTAAAATTTCGCTCAGAGTATCCGGGTTCTTCTCCGCGGCTTCGATCTCAGGCGCGTTCTCCGGGCTGCTCGCGTACGGGATCATCCGCATGGACGGCGTTGGCCACCGCCCAGGGTGGGCATGGATCTTTATCCTCGAGGGGCTCTTCACTTTCGTCTTTGGCCTGTGCTCGTTCACTCTCTTACCCCGCTCCCCCGCCCACGCTCGTTTCCTCAACAAAAAAGAGAAAGAGTACGTCGCCGCGCAGCTGAAGGAGAGCGGTGCGACCAGTGGTGACGATGGCGACGACAAGTTCAGCTGGCGCGAAGTCGGCCAGGCGTTCACTCTTCCACAAGTGTGGATGCTTGCGATCATCGCGTTTTGTGGCGGTAGGAACTCAATTATTGCACTAATCTTTCTCAAGAACTGACTAATTGATGATCAGGTGCCCTTCTTTTTGGACTCGCGTAGTACGTCACTCACGCATGCATATCCACACCATCCCCAGCTCACTATCTTTCACAGCTTCACCCCATCTATCGTCCAAGGACTAGGCTACACTGCTGCGCGCGCCCAACTGTTCAGCGTGCCACCCTTTGCTGTCGCTTTCTTTGGTAAGGCTTCATCTGCCTCAGCTGCCCTCGTAACGCGCCTGACCTGACTTCCTAGTATCTATGATCTGCGCATTCTTCTCCGACCGGTATGCGTGCCGCGGCCTCGTAACTATATTTTGCGCTGTGCTCTGCCTCATCGGCTTTTCTATGTTCCTCGGTCAGTAGATCACTCCTTTCTGAATCTACACCAATTCAGCTAACCTCAATGCATGCTTCTCCTAGCTTCGCATGACATTCACATCAAATACGCCAGCCTGTTCTTCTCAATCAGTGGAGCCTACGCTGCCGCACCGTCTCTGTCGTCCTGGAGCGCGAACAACACTGCGCCGCACACCCGGCGCGCCACGGCCATCGCCATCACCTTCATCATGACCAACTCCGGCGGCATCCTCGTTACATGGCTCCTCGGTGTCCTCTCCCCCGCCCCGCTCTACAGAAAAGCCACGATTACGCTCCTCGCATTCTCTGCGCTGATTATTGTCACATCTGTGCTCAATATTTGGTACCTTGCCGTTCAGAACAGGAAGAAGGCAGAGGTGCGTGCGACGATAACCCGTGCTGACGAAGAGCCGGGGTTGGGAGACCGCTCAGCGTGGTTTGTTTATAGTCTGTGATGCTGGCTGGGTACGCGAAATGTATCTATTTTATATCTATACTGTGCTTCTTGTGTAAAAGCCATAAATAGGAATACCCATGTCTTTTGTGGATGTAAGCTCACAGTAATAAAAATTTGCAGACCCACTGTTGAAACCATGCTGCGTAGACCGCGTCAAAAAGGTCAACTGCGACATATCCGACCTGCCTGGCTCGAACAGGCGACATCAAGATGCCGGTGGGGTATCCATTACAGTCTTGCGCTCTTCCAACTGAGCTAAGGTCGGTCGGCATGATCCCGAGAGAGTGACAATTTGTATGGCCTTGCGTGATGAATGAAGGAGTTGAATACAAAACATTCTATTGCATTAAGAGGGAATCGAACCCCCGGCGGGTCGAGCGCAGCTCGATGGCAACGACCCAGGTTACCACTACCCCATTAATGCATGCCTTGCCCGGTATTTAAGCGGCCTACCGCAATTCCTCTCCATCCCTAGCCAGTATCTGCGAGTCCGGCGTTGACAAAGCTTCAGCCTCACGTAAGTAGGTCATTGAATTGGGTCCCGCGTGCATATGAATCGAAAACGCCAGTTAAATTCTTGACGACGACCCGGCGCTTTCTGACTCTGAGAACAATCAAAGTTATATTCATTATACGCAGAATAATCTATTAAAAAGAAGAAATTCCACCGGCGTTTTTAACAAGGGCACAAATCCAACTTTTCAAGGTCTTTACTAAGGTCCACGCAAGTCGTGCAGTCCCAGTGCCCGCTTGAGCTCCCCAAACCGGTGAACCACTTTCTTCTCTGCGCGGAAATCAGCCCTCCCGCATTGCCTCGCCATCTCACATAAACCATGCGCGACATCCAACATTTCATGATGAGTTTTTGTTTCGTACACAACGAGCGCAGCGTACACGAGTGAGCTCTGGGCTACCATCCACCGCCCGACGAGTGCACTAAATTCATTGCCTACCTCAGTGTAATCCTCCAGCGTGTGGCTTTCGTCAGGACAGTATACGAACTGGAACTTCTTCAAACATTCGAGCCGTCCACCACCAGTTATGTCCTCAGACGCAAGTGCTTGGAGCAGCTGCACGGCGCTGACTGTGCTGATACACAGCGTAATTTCCTCGATCAGCGGGGTAGCCCGCAGGATCTCCGGGAAGGTGGGTAAACCAACGCCAACTTCCAAAAGGGCTAGGACACGAAGGTTTCCAGGATCAAAGCGGGGGAGGGGAGGCCTGGACGGGTCTGTTAGGCTCCCGGCAAGGCAAAGCTTTTCGAGCTTTGGTAGGTAGAGCATGTGAACGACAGCTGGGTAGCCCATATACGACGCCATGAAATGCGACCCGTAGATCTCGAGTACAAGATCGGTCAGGTGGGGGAGGGTGGTGTGACGGGGAATTCTAGGCGACAAGATGTCATGGCCACCCATGTTTGAGAGGTCGATAGAGGTGAAACGCGCGACATGGAGAGCAGTGCAGTTGTATATCATCTCACAGAAGCCTGGGAGGGTCATCTCCCCTTCGACGGTGAGATTAGTGAGTCGACTCCACGGGAGGGAGAAGCGATTGTGAGTCGATGCATTTACTTGCAGATGAACATCTGTTAGGTGCAGAGCGCCCTTGAAGACGGTTACAGATGCTGGGGTTCTAGCACCATCAAACTTGAGATGGAGTTTTTTTAAAGCCGTTAAACGGCCTGCAGGTGCCTGAAAGAAGGAGGAAATGACATCACAGTGGTCTTCGAGGGACAAGTCAGAGAAATGAGGCGACAATTCAAGCAGCTTCTCCGCCAGGTGTATCGTTGCCTCTTTCTGAAGTAAGCGTGCACTACCGCATGTGGTCAAAGATAGCGAAATTTTGTTATTTTTTGTCGCCCTTCCAAACCATGTCGCAAGAAGATCGCCTAGAACCGTCGGCTCTCGTGTGCGCGGTAAAATCTCCCCGATTTCTGGGATAAAACCAGGTAATGTAGCGTAAGCATAGGTGTTTAGTTCTAGACGATTCCAAAGGCTAGAAACCCGGAGAGCAGCGCGCCTCCACGCAGAGCAAACATGAGATAGCAATAGGGGGGAGGTTTCACAGAGCTTTGGGGAGGGGTGAAATTCTGATTCGAGAAAGATTCTACCGAGGACTTCACAGGGGAGCAGACGCGCGGGGGATATGAGGGCGTAAAGAGAATCGATTTCGACCTGTTTGGACCTTTGCAAAGTATTTCGGCGACTAAGCTCCTTGAGTAGTCGGTCTATCTCAAGCTGGACGGAAGAGATGCCGTGGTCGATGTCGGCGAGATCTACTTTGGCGTTATGGATACTTTGCTGCACGCCTCCACATTCCTCGTTTCCAAGTGGGTTATTTGAACGCAGAATATTTGCTGTTGGGGTGTAGCACTGTTGATGGATATAAGATCCAAACCGAGACAATTCTACCGTCGCGCGGCTCACTTTTTTAACATCGACCTTTTCTCGTGAACGATAAATTTGCACCGTCCTTTCCAAGATTAGTGCTACTTCATTAGAGAGACGAGGTACCGAAGGTTTGACATAGTAAGGATGCGAAAATTTCGTATCAACGCGCGAGCCAACTCCAATTTTCGTGAGCATACATCCACACCAAATGGAATACTGAGCACTTACGGAGTGTATTTAGTTGCAGTGCTACCTCGCGGTCCTCCTTTGTCAGTAGATCAGTACCAAGGGACTTCATTTCGGGTGTAGAGCAAGAAGATTGCCGGCACTGACTCTGAGACAGGGGCATGATCCATGCGTGACATTCGGCGCTCCGCGGTACCGATTTTTATCCAGCCCATGAGTCCCACAAAATTATAATTTAACACCGGAAGGTGGCGCAATGAATTGAGGTCTAGGTACAGGGGTGGGGTGGCATCTAAAATGCGGCACTCCTACAGCACAGGAACGAGGAATTGAGTGACACAAAAACTGCGTGTTCAGTAGCGAAGAGAGCCGATCAGTCTTGCGACCTTGCGAGCTCAATCATAATCTCATCCACTCCACCCTTTACTAAGATCTTCAACAACTTTATGTCCTCCAGCGTCTATGGCCCTCCTGCTCCTGCATTCTCGATCTCGTCGGCAAAGACGGTAACTCTGCCACCTTCGCCTAGCGCACACACGACCTGGTTCGTGTCACCTGGTTCGTCTGGAGGATGGTCGGCACTGATGACAAAACCTCCCGTATGAAGCGACTCTCGAGCGTACAATCGAGCTGACATGGGTTAGGTGTTGTGCAGAAGAGTCTCTGCTACGGGTCAAACGAATTGAGCTCCTCGAAGATGAGTAGGACGTGGTGCATTATGTCAAGGGACGTGAGGTTCGAGCTCCAGAACGGGTGGGCAGAGCATTGTGGCGACGAGGCATAGATCCCGTTTCGGGTGAGGATGGACCGAACGGAGAGAGTTTTTTAAGGATATCGATAGCAGGTAGAGGCCAGATTGAGGGCCGATGCTTTCTCAAAGCGACTACCGTCGGTATCCGATGGACTCGAAGTCTCTAGCGAGGAAGAGGTAATCGGCGACCATCGTGGTGAGACAGAAGTGGGGGACCGATTGGCACTTTTCTCCAGGTCAAAATACGGCTTTAACAGGTCTCGAAAGAGCCATCGAGGGCTATAGAGGCAGGTCGAGATGGGGGAAGCTGGGTTCAGCGCTGGAGGCAGAGTGGTGAGCTGTGGTGAGGGTGAGAGTAATCACCTTGAAGTTGAGCGTGGGACCAGGGAGACCGTATCAAAGACGTGAATCGGCATCCAAGCATCAGCCGGCGGGACCCACATATCCCACAACTTGTAGTCTTTTACATGTCATTCTGCAGGTCATTGACAGGTCAGGCGGTGTGACGCCCGAATGTCGGATCGATTTGTGAGATAGATGGAGTCGCTGAAATTGGTATATATCGCTTTGATATGTATCAATCTACCATCTTTTTTTTTTTTTTTTTTTTTAAACCAATATCAATCTACTATCAATCTATTGTTATCCACAGCCCTCAACCTCTCGCATGAAATGCGTAAATGCATTGTTCGCTGGTGGGATGCCGACAACAGACCTGTAGCAGATATAGTACACTCCCCAATTACAGTGAACAAACTGTCTATAGTGTACTTGTCTTTGAGAATCCTGTTACATGTCCCTGCGAGGGAGCTCGGGTCTTGGAGATGATGTCAATTTTTCTTTCTTCTCTTATTGACGCTCGTCTAAAGGTCTATTTCGATGAGTTTCAGGAGGCACTCGCACTCGAAAGTGGTATGGAAGTCTCCATTTCTACAATCTCGCGAACTCTCCAGTGGCAGAGAACGCAAGCAAGTCGCGCGTCGCGCGATATCAAGTTCGGCAACTCCGGGTCACACATCACCTGGCCTGTCAAAGCTCTCGAGAATTTGATGACCTGCAGTGACCAGAATGACATGCAAAAGGCTGCAGGTCCAAAGCTTCGCTCACGCACTGCCTTCCCCACCACGTCCGCTAAAAATTTACACACACCGATCGATATACACCATTGCTCTATGCCTGGTACGCCAATTATCATAAATTCTCCGCTCTACTGATCCTCAATGTTTTGCAGTGAGTCGGACATGATGATGTTAAGGAGATAGCCTTACTTAGACCGAACTTGACAAAGCTCCCAGCTATAGCAGTCGCAGGAGGTACAGCACTTGTAGGCGCTGCACTAGCTGCCGTTCCAATTCTCGGATTGGTTAAAGTTGGCTTCAGTGTAGCTGGAGCAGTCGCTGGTGGGTTTCTTGATCGGCTACTCCACTCTCTGAATATACACATTTTGACATGATATAAAGGGTCCATAGCAGCCGGAGTCCAGGTCGGAGTCAGTAACGTCGCTGCAGGTTCGGCGTTCACACTTGCTCACGGCATCGCGATGGGAGGCCCGCTTGGTGGTATTACCACTGCATCAGCAAGATCACGTCTCATCGCTATTTGCCATTATCTCGTCGCTATTTTTCGTTATATCTTCGACATCTGCCGTTGTCTCGTCGATATCTGCCGTCATCTTGTCGATATTTACCATCATCTTGTCGCTATTTACCGTCATCTTGTCGCTATTTACCAGTGGCTCGTGGACCGACGACTACAAGTACAACGACTACAACACATTAACGAGGGTCATTAGGTCAACAAATTTTACAAAATAAATCTAGGAATGTCAGCAAGGACGGCATTGGAAACCAAGAGACTCATACAATCAAATTGAAATTGAAAATCTATCTATTGCAGGAACTCATGTTTATGATGCGCTATATAGGAATTAAAAAATTAAGAATGCAAGACATCTACGAAAGAGAGAAAGAAAATTCTTCAGGAAGAACTTGAAGAGAGGAACCATAAACAGGAAGAAAATAGGCTGCTTGTACGATGGAGTCAAGATGGATGACAGCCTTGAATCTGCATCTGTTTCCGTCAAAATTAGGCTTTAAA